CTCTACGATTGCCACACGCTCTCATTTATTAGAAGAATTATGTTCGACAAGAATCGGCTAACACCGGCCGATATAAGAGAAGCACCTCTTGGCGACGTTGACAACTACAATTAATCTAGTGAGGCTTAAGCGCCGTGGAGTGATCCACCCTCCAAACGTTACAGATACAAATACTGGCGAAAATATTTTATCATAATCTAGTTCAGGTATCTGAGTATAGTTTTGAGCTTTATATATAGAAATTTATTTTGCCTATGTTCCAAACCTTGAAACTCCTGGAATCCAAATTTTCATTTATGGCCTTAATCAATTTCTCAGAATCTAGTGAAGAAATTACTTCATTTTAATTGGCAGGTTCATCTACAGCAATTTTCATCAGCATAGTTGCATGGACGCTATATATGTTTAGATCTATCTATATTTTGGCGGGTAGAATTAAAAAAAAATGAATTAAAAGCATATCCTCGTATTTTATATTATTGTAACATAAAATACAACCATTTTAAAATTATAATTATATAATATTTTACATTTTGGTATCTTCTTAAAATGCTTCTATATTGCTCTCGTTTTTCTTTGTAAATTAGTTTTAAAGCCCTGCTTTGAACTTCCAATGACGTTAAATGAATTTTTAAAGCTCCACCTCAGGCGCATATACTGTAACGAAGATGGGTTTCCATTAAAGATAAATATAACGTAAGATGTTTTTTAATAAGTTAAATTTATACAAAATGTATCGCGGTTTATTTATGATATCTTTTATATGTAGATTCCACTTTAGTTGTGAGTCGATAATAATTTATAAATACTTAATTTGTTTTGCAGGAGTAATAAAAAATATTTTTTTACCTTCTAACTAAAAAAATAAGCAGTAGTATCTGTATATATAATTTCTAGATTTTTGAAAGAGTTTTATAGTGATGAAGTTTTATTGCCGAGGATTTGGCAACGCTGAAACCATTTGCAATTATTCCATTAATTGCTTATAAGCACAAATAAAAAACAGGAGTGACACAAAATTGATCGAAAATACATTTTATCGAATGACATTAGATCAAAAATATATTTCAACTGAAATGTTTTCGATCAATTTTGTGCCACCCAAAAAACAATAAAAGTATTTACTGACATTTTGCTTCTTAATACCTAATTAAACTAATAAGAAAACTAAAACATCCCACTGTTTTATTGTAAATAGGATTATAGATATATATATATTTCCCTTCAAACCCCTCCTGGCTACATCCTTGCCGAAAAACAAAAGACAATGGCATTCGACTGGTCGCAATTTACTTTGAGGATCTCGAACTAAATCTTTCGCCCTATCTATGCAGTAAAATGAACCCCGATTGATTTTTCCGCCATTGTTCACGGATCTGGCAAAATGTTATGAATTCGACGAGAGTCGGTGAAGAGCCAATAAGAAATAAAAGATAACAGATGTTTTACGGTTTGTTTAAGTCATTGATTTAAGAAATTTATTAGGTTGACAGCTATGAGTATCAGAAAATTGAAGAGATTCGAAGAAAGTCTTATTTGAAAGCGATTTTATTTTCATTTATGTTTAAGAATTTCGCGTATTGACAAGTAATCGAAATAAAATGGGAAATTATAGTAATTTTATAGATTGAATGACGTTAAATTTGTAAAAATAAGAAAGTAATTGAAGTGAATAATGGACGAAGGGGGAAGCGAAATAAATCTTAGAATTTTTCTGAAAAGTAGAAATAAAGCGGTCTCTAGAGGTATAAAAGTTCTACGTGTTATAAAGTGTGTCATTTCATTTGAAAGTTGGCTAATTTTAATAATAATTCATTTCATAACATAACAAAACATAATTGAATGAAACATAAACATAAATAATTGAACAAATTCTTGTAGAATTCTAAAGTTAACAAATACAAACATCAGTCGCTATCAGCCAAAATAATAAATTTATACCACGCATCAAATTACTAATAAAATTCGTGAAAAGCAAGTAATAATCATTAGTAAAGTATATGAAAAGTGACTCCATTTCTTGTTCGTCTCTAATTTTACCAACACAAAAACTTTGTTTTAATTGAAAATTAAATTTAATAATAAACTTTTGACATTTCAACCCTCGCAAAATTTTAATCATCGAAAGATGGGTTACAAGAAAAGTTTAGGAACATATAATGAAAGTAATTTTCTTTGTAAAGATTTATTGATTTAACTTCTTATTGTTAAATATATTTTATTTTTATTTATACATTAAATAATTTTGTTATATTTTTTTCTTAATGTTGTTTAGTATATCATTCATAACCTACTTATTTTTAGTAGTTACATTGTATTTTTCTTAAAAGCCTAATGATGATTTGTTTGATTGTGACTAGTTGTCATTGACTTTGAATTTATTTTCCCCTAAAAAATGTTTAAACAATGAAAATAATAGTAAGTCGGAGTTACATCATATTATGCAGAGACAGTAAAAGCTTATCAAGTCTTTTAATTAGATAAATTGGTAGACGAAGTGAAATTAAATGGCCTGCCTGTTTTCCAGATATGACCTCACCGGTTAATTTTTTTCATAAAAATGCAGAAATGTTACCAAATGTCTTAGAAAAATTCCTACGTCTGCTCATGCTATAAATTATTTTCGTTTAAATTAATTGTGTTAGAATGTATGCACATTATTAAAGATTTCTCATTTAAATTTATTTTGCCTATAAGAAATGTTCAAAGTTCTAAAAATCTTATAATTACTGCTGATTAAAGATTTAAAACGCCTTAAAAATGGGATACTAATACACCAAGGTAGTCACATAATTGTGTTTAAAAAGTAAAGTTTTATAAATAAAAATCGAAATGGTTCAAATTATTATTTGGCACATAAATTAAATTAACCATTACTTTCGAAAACCATTCTGTACATTTTTCTATTTATTTATAATCATATTAAATAGGGTTATGACTTAAGACATGACACGACAGCAAACATTCTCCTTTATTTGCAAAGCAGGTGTCAGCAAATTATATCCCTGTATTCAATTCCAGTGCATGTTTATTCATGGCAGCGCCATTTTCTAAGCTCCTGCGTCATAATTAGGTAGCGACTACATAGAAAAGATGAAATATCAAGTTGCTTTGTGTCATTATTCTCAATAGAAAGTCATACTGCACCTACGTGATGAGAGGATAAACATGAAGAGATTTACAATTCAGTGAAAATACCCGTCATGATTATTCTTTGCTATTTGAAAACCCGCTTTTAAAGGTTACAAAGGTACTAGTATTTATTATCACGTGTCAGGTGAACCAGTAAGAATGGCTTTGAACTATAACTGAGAAACTATTTAAGGGGAAAATTTTTAATAACTAAAGTGGACAACGAGAAATATCTGGAAATTATTTGCAGAATCGTAGGAACTGAATTCAAAAAAGTAAAATGTTAATTTCATACAAAATATGCAAAGTTAGGGTCTCCTAAAAATATAAAAATAAGTCCGGTTCTGCTTATAATCTATATGTTATGTGAAACCTAGAGGGCGCTCTTTAATTCTTTCAAACAATTGTTTTTCAATTACTAATTACTTGTTTTTATTACTTTATTTATGAAATTTCTAATAAATGGTGGATGCGCCTGATATGCCCACCAATATTTGTGTTTTCATCCGCCAAATTTTTTAAGAATTTAGCTAGCAAATTATTTAATTTTGATACTAAAATGGAACAAAATCAGTTAATATTACTGTATTTATTGAATTTACGTTATAAAGCCGAAGACTATTTCCAGGCAAGGTAACTATGAAGCCTAACCTGGAATTTCTAAATGAAATTTTACGACCATGTACCGTAAAACGTTTTATTTTTCACAATCCTTAATTAATAGGGATTTATGGCTCGAGTCCGAAAATAATACTTTAAAGGACGAAGCAGGTACTTTACAGGATCAGCCATCTGAGAGAGTCCTGTAGAGGATTCTTACAATAACGTACAATATATTTTGGCAAAGTTATAATTAGCATTATTATATATAGAGGAAATCTAAAGATTCCACAGATATATATCTAGTTTCATTTATAATTTGCTATTTTTTTTTAATTCTAATTAACGTGTTTTTACTATGACTCTGCCAAGTTAGACGAAGTGATATTCTTATTGGACGTGACTTTTGCTATTTCCTTAAACCTATGAATAAGAATTTTAAGTTTAATATTAATATATGGAGTGAAAAATGGATTTGATGAAATATTCAATATTTATTTCTAAATTATAAAACTTTTAGATTATAAAAACATTTAATGCTTTTTTTTTATTTTTTTCAAAATGTAAACAAAATTCATATTAAAAACTTTATTTTAGAGTAATAAAAGTAATTTTTTGCAGAAATTGTGAATCCCACTAGGTATTTAAAAGAAATATAGATTTTTAAAAACAACAAAAAGAAACAAAAATTTTAATTTCATGTTGCTGTTTTATGATCCAACTCAAAGTTCTATCTCATTTTAATATTTATATAATACGGCTGTAAGTGAACAGTAGTGAAAATATTTTACATACAAAGTGGGCATGGACCGGAAATCATCTCTACAGGGCCGAAATAACTGTAAAAATATTTAAACACGGATTTGGAATAAAGTCTTAGAAATTGTTAAATACTACTGACTACAATAGTATATTAAAAAAAATATATTTCTAATCAACTTAGAAATTAGGTCAAACAAATTAGGCTTGACAAAATCCGATTCTTATAGACCAATTTCTCTGACCTGAACAATGTGCAAAGTATTATAAATTCTAAATTAACCCATTTTCTATAAAAAAATATATTATTTTTGAAGAATGTCGATTTCAAAAAATTGAACAACACTAGACAATCTCAAATATATACAATCAGATATACATCAAGCTTTTGTCGACTAAGAAAAACTGTATTATTTGACACAGTTAGACAGTTAATTTTAAATTATTTATTAGAGAAAACCCCGAGAAATTCATAAAGTATACAAAGTTAAATTTTGACATTTTCTTACCTGTCGGCTGCAGCCATTACCCCCAGATCTGCCCTGAAAAGAAAATAAACATTTTTAGATTTCTTAAGAGATAATTGTGTGTTTTCATTTATTGCTTTTAAATTTATTTCAATTTCAATTAAAAGTCCGAACAAACCCCAATAATGTGAACGCTGTTTGGGATTCTTTTTATTGATTTTCATTTCTGTTCAAAAAGAGGAGAATATTGAAAACAATGCTCTCTTAGAAAATATTTGTAAATATTTACTCAAAAAGTAATAATTAAATTATCGAAAATTTAAAAAAATATATAATAGGTAAATTGACTTATTTTTTCCAAACTAACTACATCTGAAGTTCGGCCAACTCTTTACGCGTTTTAATGATTATTTTTGTAGTTCAACAAAATCATCAGTAATATAATGACAATTTAATTGTATACGTAGGTATAACAATCGCTTCTGATTACCGGTCATCAGATATTACTGTGTAAACATAGCCCTATATTAATCAGCCGATCGTAGTCATAAAGCCATTCATTTTCTATCAGTTACGTCATAAACAATTCACCATTTGACACTTGAAATACCAAAAACGACCTTCAATTAGCCACCAACATACGCAAATATACACTTTCCAGAGCCATCGGGACGCCCGTTTTGACGTCAGCGTCGTTGTCCTGGATACGACGGCGAGTTAACAGCATTTGAGCGATCTTTGAAATTATACGCTGATAATATATAAAGATAAATTGTCCGGCAAGAAGTTCGTAGTATATTTAGAGTATTGATAAATTGGTTTTCCATTGGGTTTATGTTTTTAAATAATGAGTAGTGTATTACATTCTATATATAAAAGATATACAGAGTGACCAAATCATCATGATATAAGCCAATGCAAAATATATCTTCTTTTTTCTCTTTATGGTCTGCGACCATGAGAACCCAATGCAGCTACTCTTATTGAAACTATAAAAAAGAAAATTCGTCACCAAAACAGAGTGCAAGAAAAAGTTATGAAAGAAAATAATCTCAGAAGAGTTTTTGATAAACCAGCTGTAGATAATCAAAAACTACTAAATACTTTGTAAGCCTGACTGTGAATATTTTTGTAGATTTAATTTAAAAAGTACTTATTTTATTGTATTAGACATACGTTTTATTATAAATGTACATCAAGTCTATTTATTTCTTGTAATTTACATAATACTTAACTGACAAAAATAGTGGTAATTGTGAAAAATCCAATAGGGGTCAACTGATAGTTCTTTTGAAAGGGATTTTAACTACTTATTCAAAATACAGGGATTTTTTGATATCTACAATTTTTAACACTAGAAATGTCGCTTAAAATTGTATAAAACATTTTGTATTATTTCTGGAGTTCTTGTTCAATTTTTTTTATTTAAAATAGAACCTAAGTAATATTTTAGGTTAAGTTTAAAATAATATGTAAAATTAAGAATATCGTTTAGATTTGAATAGTAACATTTGCTTTGTTTTCGTTAAATTATTAATATTAATGTTCGATCGCAAATGAACCCATTTAATGAGTATAAATATTTCACTTTAATTCAACATTTAATGTTTTCAAAATTACAAACAAAACATGGCAACAATATAAAGGGATACATATTTAATGGAATCAGTAGTACATAATATATTGATTTAATATGAAGAGGGGAAACATTTTAAAACTAGAATATATTCCAAGTTGAATATGTTTATCAATGTTATAAATATAAAAAAAATATTTTTATGATTATGCGGTGTAACTTACAATGAGCTATATCTCATAAACGAAAGATGATATCAAAAAATGATTAAAACCGTTTCTAGAATAGGAAGAGAGAACTCACTCCATATCAAACCACTAGGCCTCATCTACCCCAACTAAAAAAGTTTAAACAACAAACCCCTACTTGTGATACATCATTGAAAAGCCTATAAAAATTATGTCCAATAATTGTGAAATCTTGCTTATTGCCTTAAAAGGAAAATGAAATAAGTTTTTGTTAAAATACAAATTTGGGAGATCTCTTTTATGTCATTTTAGTTCCCCATTCCAATCCTAGAAACAGACGACAGGTGAATAATGGTTTTTGACCATTGTAAGCTTGTTATCCCATTATAAATTTGTGCTTTTTTCGGTGTTATTTCTTGCTTTTTCCGCTGTTATTTTATGCATTTTCCATAAAGATGCCTAATTATAGAAAAGGTTGTGTACCCAATTGCCTTGATGTGGACAACAAGATGCATCGTTTGCCCCATCCTACGAATTCACCTGATTTATTTGATATTTGGGCACTTGCTGTTCGTTGTCCAAAATTTATTCCATCTTTGTAGTATGACATAAACATTTTGAAGAGAAGTTTAAAGTATTGGCTCTCGTCGAGATCTAATATTCGAAGCATTTCGAACGCTATTCCTCCCAGCAATTCCTGGAAGACTAGTAGTAGTAGGAGTAGTATAAATACAAAAACAAAAAACCCAAAAAAAAATAGTAGTAGAAGTAGTATAATTAGAAGTAAAAGTACTAACAAAAATAAACAAAACCCAAAAAAATTAGTAGTAGTAGTGTTCGTTTTAGGATTTTTTTTCAGTGCAAAATAGTTGTGACCTTAAAAACAAACCAGACTATTAACCTAAATTTTCACACCTTTTCGTCACCACGTATACTAACGAATTTGTGTCAAATGCGACCGAAATGTTATTATTGGCCTTTTTATTTTTCCAGTAAGATGACACATGACGTTTTGCGTGGAGAGTTTCGTATGGGGGAACTTCATTTGTTATTTAGCGAATATGACAGGTCGTTTTTCGGGATAACTAGATCTGTGTCGCCAAAATGCTCAAATGCAATTACTCTATCTTCAGCGATTACGAAACCTTGTTTGTTGTGCTGTCAACGGATGATTTTATGAGTGAAAATATTAGGAACACGCCAATACAATGATTATCAATATATCCAGGTTGCGTTCAATTAAAGTTTCCAGTTGTCATCGTTTATCATATCTTTCTGAAAAAATTAATCGTTTTCATGTCAATTTATTTATTTTCTCACATAATAAAATAAAGTATATTTTGGAATTTTAGAATCTGTGTTTTCAACATTTGAAAGGACTACTAAATTAATAATAATTTGAAGCATCGCTTCTCTCATTTTTACATAATTTATTTGAGCAAATTCAATAATTTTTGATTCCAAAACTGTTTGTAAAATGTAGTTTGTTCGTTGATCTCTTAGAACTTTATTTTCCGGAATCCTCATTATCATTATTATGTCTGTAGATCGTATCATATTTAGAGTCGGTCTATTAGTTATTTTCTCTTAAAATGCAATATTTTGGAGAAGTAAAAATCCAATAAGAAAAACAAACAAAACGGAACCAAAGAACAGATATTTTGTTGACTTCGTTCAGTTTTTTTACTTTGAATCTTGAGGGATTGCTTTTAATATGCTTATAATAAGAACCGACCTTCAGCTTCTTGTGGACACAGGGTTGTCTTTAGAAAAATGAAAGTCTATAATTATAACTTTTATCAGTTTCGATGCAAAAATATATTTAAAAATAAATGATACATATTATATTATTATTATTATTATTAATGAAAAAAATAGAAAATATATACCGAATAAGAGGCTAAACAAATAACATTGGATTCATTTATTTATTTTAGTACACACCACCTACCAGCAACCCAATTATTGGATGGAGACTGGCATACGATAAGATGGTAAGTATTTAACATATCTTTAATGGCTATATGTTTTCTAATTTATTAATTTGAGTGCTAAGCAATATCCAATATCGGACACTGAACGAAATAACTTTAAATCCACTATATACAGAAAATCAGAGTAGTAAGTAGTCAAGATGATATCATTGATAAAGAAATAGCAATGGACCTAATACTGATCCTTGCGGGACTTCAGAGAAAACCTCAATTTCAAACGATTTGACATCAGTTTTTTAACATTTTCTTTGAGTCAGGATTGTGGTAAGGAAATTAAAAAATTATTTAGTTGGTCCTAAACTGTAGAACACCATGGTCCAACCGGTCAAAATCCGTAGAAAAATATGTATAAATTACGTCAAACTGATCACCATTGTCTAAGTTATCTGCAGTATATTGTGTTACGTATATTCAGTTTGTATTTACGGCAAACAAAGCTAATTGTTTATTTTTAATTTACAGGCAGCAACTCCAACTGTTTTTTTTTAATGGAAGGGTAGGTTGGTCAATTTTTTATTTTGAAGCTGTTTTAATTGCAAATACAATCAGGTTTTTTTTAGTTACATGCAATAAAAAGTTTGTAAAAGACACAAAAAACAAATTATCTTTAATAGCCAAAAAATAAAATTACATTAGTAACAATTAAGCGAGTTTTTATCATAATTAAGACCCATGTTGAAAAAGGTAGTGCCAATTTAATTTGTTTATTGTAAAACGAGAGTAGAAAAAATTAAATGACTTTTTTTATTTATGTTTATCATTATTTTGCAATTTGCTAAACGTTTAATGTACAGACAAATTATTATACACGCTATAAATAAATAATTATTTTCACATAAAATTAATCAAGTTGTTATACACTTATAATTTAACTTACAATGTATAAGGCGAATAATTCCACGACAATTTCCATAATTTCTGCATACGTGGTACTTCATTAATTAAATATGAAACATAATGCTTAAAAAACCACTTCTGAGATGGAAAATTGTAATTTAAAACATGTCCGAAGATTTATAGGATGACCGTCTTTAAAGACATGCTAAAGCACACAAAAAAAAATAATAGAAAAACTAAACAGCATAAATATAAGCCTACACATTTTTAGTATATGAATAAGAAAATGCAAAAAATGTTATAAAATTAAGCAAAACGAGAAATGATGACCTAAAAAATCTGATAATAAAATAAAAACACGTAAAGACGTAAAAGCAGAAGCAAATAATGAAATAATATAATAAAAGATTTAAAGAGCTTATGTTACAAAGGCGTCAAGGAAGTAATTTCGATATCTATATCTATCCCATAATTTAAAAT